AGTAGTAGTATAGTAGTAGTAGTAGTAGGAGTAGGAGTAGGAGTAGGAGTAGGAGTAGTAGGAGGAGGCGGAGGAGGAGGAGGAGGAGGAGGAGGAGGAGGGGGAGTCGGAGGAGGAGTTGCTATACCAGGGATCTGTGGGGGATGGGGAGGGACCGCCAGGCAGACGGGAAGCGCAAGCGGCGACGTGGACGTCGACACGCAGGAGGAGATGCATTTGTTCTTGTTCTTTCTGAGGATCAGCGGCGGTGCCCCCCCTCCCCGGATCTGTTCCCCCCCGAGGTTGGGCAGTGTCAGTGGGGGGTCGCCACCCCCTTCCCGAAAATCGACGAACGAGGAAGGAGGGCAGAAGATCGAGGAGGTTTTGGACGTCTTTGGGAGTCTTTGGTGGTCGCCCAGGGGGTCCGTTCTCTGGAGGAGGTGGCAGCGTGGCCTCAAAGACTCGAATATTCAACAACTTCCAAGGGATCGTGGCCTCGGGAGCGCGAATGTAAGACATAGTTTAAACGGGATCGTGACCCTGGAGACGCGAACACCGTATAATTTGCGAGGAAGCGTGGCCTTAGGGACGCGCATGTTGAGCAATTTACGTGGGATCGTGGCCTCGGGGGCCCGAATCTTTTGTTTTTGCTTGTCCCACGGGCCCGCAGGAGTTGAGGCAACCCGATTTGGGGAAGGCAAGAAGTAGGTAAGATGCTGGCTTGGGGCTACGGCCCTCGCGCGGACAGCAACAGTTTACAGCAGGAGAGAGAACGTAGGACTATAACATGTGAGACTTGAAACTGTCACTGGAGCAGGGAGCAGCAAGTGATCGTTCTCTTATTCATCGTTTTGCCGATCGGCGCGGGCCGTCGCCCCCCCCCCCTTCCCCCCCCTCTATGGGTAGCTCTTGGCTGTTTTGGGCGCCTGTTCGAGGAGGTCGAGTCCCCCCCCCAGAGGACGCGCGATTCCAAACAGTGGCATTAAGCAGCGGTCTGGAGCCAGACCCCTCCTTCCCCCTCTCCCCTTCCGCCCAATGTCGAAACGCCGAGTAAGAAAACGTTCACGAACGCCTAATCCCCGCAGCCTGATGGCCCCACAAGGGGGCCGGCGGAAATTCGTCACGCATTTTGTCGCGTTCCATTTTCGTTTCGTTATGTGCTGTAGATGTTTCACTGTTACTTGCAATTGATGGGCGCTTCGGCCCCACCCTGCCGCACCCACGCGGTGCATGGGGCACGCCGATGTTCGATGCCCCCCAGGCCTGTTTAGTCACTACCCGCCAAGCCACCCCAACCCAACCCGAAGGCCCCAGGCTGCCCTCCATTTCCAGGAGTGGGGGGCGGTATCCAAGAACATTGGAAACACATATGGAGCCCGTACAACCCCCAACCCCCCGAAATTCGGGACTTCGGGTTGGGTTTGGGTAGTCTGGTAGGTAGTCAGAAGAGGGTCATGTCGCTCCGCCAGTTCTGGCCCACTGCGCCTCGGCGCGACACGCTGCCCACGTCCCCATTCTCAAGCGTCAGTGTCTCGAGCTTTTCCCAGCATAAGGCCCCGCGGTGCGGAGCGACACGCGATCCGCTCGCAGTGCACAGCGTCTGGTAGGTAGTTATTTAATCGCTTCGCTCATTCCGCCGGCCCTGGAGCCCTCTTGGGGGCCTCTTGGGGACCTCTTGGCAGTCTCTTGGGGCTCCTTGGCGGCGTCTTGGGGCCCCCCAGGGCCTCTTGGGGGTCTTTTGGGGGCCTCTTGGGGCGGGAGGGGAGGGGGGGTAGTCGATTGCGGCTCCCCCCTCGGAGGCCACGATCCTCGTGAGGGGTGTCGAAAAATGGCCCTCCCCTGGAGTGCTCTGGTGGCTTCTCCCGGGACCTTGCTGGGGTACTTTTCGTCCGGGGGCCCCCAGGGGCCGCTCCGCGCGCGCGAATGAGAAATATTGTTAACCAGTTACCGGAGATCTTAGCACGCCTCTGGCCCGTTGGGCTGGCGAATTTAGACGGCCGTTCCCCTCGTGTCACCTGCTTGCGTGCGCCGCCAGCTTCGACCGTCCTGCTGCCGCGACGCGGCGCGGGAGAAAGAAACACCGCCGCCTGGAGTCTGCCGGGGTCGCAGAAGACCCGTTCGTGCTGAAGATGCCCGTCGACCTCGTGACGCAGCTCATGCAGGCACCCCGCAGACCCGGCTGGCGGGAAGGAGGAACGAGCAACTAGGAGCGAGGAGGAGGGGAAGCGAGAGCACACGAAGGGGGAGGAGCGGGCGGAGGAGGAGGAGGAAGAGGAGGAGGAAGAGGAGGAGGAAGAGGAGGAGGCGGAGGCGGAGGAGGAGGCGGAGGTTGAGGAGGGGAAGGAGGTGGAGGAGCAGGAGGGGGAGGGGGAGGAGGGAGGAGCAGGAGGAGGAGGAGGAGGAGGAGGAGGAGGAGGCAAAGGAGGGAAAGGAAGGGGAGGATGAGCAGGAGGAGGGGGAGGAGCAGGAGGGGAGGAGGAGGAGGAGGAGGAGGAGGAGAGGAGGAGGAGGAGGAGAGAGGAGAGGAGGAGAAGAATAATACAAAGAAAGAGGTGGGAGATGAGGACTTGGTGGAGGAGGAGGAGGAGGAGGAGGAGGAGGAGGAGGAGGAGGAGGACCAGTGTAAACCCAACCGTTTCTTTATTGCTTGGGGCATGACGGGCGTCATGGCCCCCGTTCCCCCCCCCATGACGTAACGCTCCCCCCCTCCAGTGCGCTCCGGGCACTGCCGCCGTGCGCATTGGGATCCGCGTAGGTGTCCGCGTAGGAATCCGCACAAGAGTCTGGTCCGCAGTCGTCGTCGTCGTCGTCGTCGTCGTCGTCGTCGTCGTCGTCGCCGTCGCTCGTGGCTTGTCGCTCGTCGATCATAGTCGTCGTGCGCGCGGACGCGGCTGAAGCTTGTTTTTTATTCCGGGCCGATGACGGCAATCATCTAGGTGGGGGTGGAGGGGGTCGATGACGTCACTTTTCGCGCCTGCGACGTCTGGGAATGCCTAGGAATGACGGAGGACGGGTAGCGCCAGCATGTAGGTGGCGATTTGCACCACAACGCCTGTGTACACCACAGTGCCTGCGTGCACCACAGCGCTTGTATACACCACACCGCCTATGTACACCACAGCAGCCGCGTGCAACACAACGTCAGTTTGTGCCACCGTGCCTGCGGGCACAACAGTTCATGTGCACACCACAGCGTTTGCGTACACCGCATCAGCCGTGCAACACAGCACCAGTGTACACCACAATGCCTGCGTGCATTGCAGTGCCTGTGTACACCACGGTTGCTGTGTGCACCACAACAACCGTGTGCAACACAGCACCACAGTTGTATGTATAATGTTCGAACGAATCCTTATGACAAAATAGAGCGCGTGCGGATTCCACAGGAACACTGGAAAACAATCGTTATGGACAACGGAGCGCCGCTGGAATCTACGAGTCCCCCCGAGTCCGCCCGCATCACCCTAACTTCTCCCATCTGCGTCCAGGAGGCTCGAGCTCAATTGGCCGTCCGAAAACCAAGGGGACCGATTTAATAGAACATTCTGCGGCGCGCGCTGAGATGCGCGCGTGCGGTGTGGGGCCAACCCGCGCGACAGGCGGTAAGGAGGAGGATGAGGAGGAGGAGGAGGAGGAAGAGGAGGAGGAGGAGGACGAGGAGGAGGAGGAGGTGGTGGAAGTGGAGGAGGAGGGAGGAGGGAAGAACGTCGCATTCGATTATCAGCACTTTCGTGGCGTGGCGTATAGTTGTGCGCAGCAGATCCCCACGTACATGCTCCTTGTACCTGTCCTATGTACGCAGGCATTGTGGTGTACACCAACGCTGCGTTGCACGCGGATGCTGTGGTGTAGACGCGCGGTGTGGCGTGCATAGGCGCTGCGGTGCACGCAAGCACTCTGGTGTACACAAGCGCTGTGTTGCACATTGTAGCTGCGGTGTTCACATGTACACCGGCGTTGCGGTGTACGCAAAGCAGTGTGGTGTACACAGGCGTTGCGTTGCACACGGTTGTTGCGGTGTACGCAGGCAGGCGCTGTGGTATACACGCGCGCTCTGGTGCACGCGAGCGTTGTGGTGTACACAAGCGCTGTGGGGCATATCGCCACCTACATGCTGCTCGAATCGTCGTCGTCGTCGTCGTCGTCGTCGTCGTCGTCGTCGTCGTCGTCGTCGCTCGTCGCTTGTCGCTCGTCGATCGTCGCGTCGCGCGCGCGGGCGCGGCTGCGATGCCGGAGCCACACGGTGGGTGGGGGGCGTTACGTCATACCCACCCTTCGGCCCCCCCCTTTTGAACCCCGTCATCGCCGAACATAAAGAGACGCAGACCCGTCAACGCTGTTGCAAAAAAACCTTCGTGCCAAGTTTCTTCATCATATGTCGCTACACGGCCTTATCTTCACTAAGGGAAACGCCCTGTTGGAATATAGCCGTTTGACAATCATGAACCGTGCGAAATCCGTTCCTGGGATTTCAGCGTCTCGCGAACCAACGTCATTGTTGCGTCGTGACGATCCTGACTCGTGCCAGAACACCATTCCTGGGACTTCAGCATCGCCAATCATCGTGACAATTGCGCGCTGATTGTCCTACATCGTTCCGCAACACAATTTCTGTGACGTCAACTGTGCGCATCTTCGAAACGGTTATGAGCTCTTCAGACGAATGTGCGCGGCGCTAACGCGAGAACCGCATTTAGCCGCCCTCCATTCGTGAAGCTCGTGCAAACCTTTAGGGCGAATGTGCGCGGCGCTGAGGCGGGAAACCACATTAAAAAACCGCCCGCCCTGCATCCGTGAAACTCTTGCAACACTTAAGCTTTAACATCATAGTTTGTAAGGAAGTGTCTTGTGAACCACCCAGCCCTGCGCCCTAGCAGCACATCTCGGGGTGCGACAGGGAAGAATACATCTTTGTAGTGCAAAAGGATGGAGGAGGAGGAGGGGGAGGAGGAGGAGGAGGAGGAGGGAGGGAGGAGGAGGAGAGGAGGAGGAGGATGCGGAGGAGGGGAGCGAGGAGGGGAGGAGGGGAGGGAGGAGGGAGGAGAGGAGGAGGAGGACAAAAGAAGAACAAGAAGAAAAAGAAGAAGAAAGAGGTGGGAGATGAGGACTTGGCGGAGGAGGAGGAGGAGGAGGAGGAGGAGGAGGAGGAGGAGGAGGAGGAGGAGGAGAGGAGGAGGAGGAGGAGAGGAGGAGGAGGGAGGCGGAGGAGGAGAGGCGGAGGAGGAGGAAGAGGAGGAGGAGGAGGGGGAGGAGGAGGGAGGAGGAGGAGGAGGAGGAGGAGGAGGAGGAGGAGGGGGAGGAGGAGGAGGAGGAGGAGGGAGGGAGGAGGAGGAGGAGGAGGAGGAGGAGGAGGAGGAGGAGGTGGTGGAGGGATGGTGATGAGGATGAGGCGGAAGAGGAGTGGGCGGAGGAAGTGGAGAAGGGATGGTGGTGATGATGATGGTGGTGGTGATGACGCTGATGCTGATGACGTCGATGATACTGATGCTGCTGATGATGATGATGATGATGATGATGATGATGATGATGATGATGATGATGGGTCTGATGATGCTGCTGATGATGATGATGTTGATGATGATGATTATGCTGATGCTGATTGTGATGCTGATGATGACGATGATGATGATGATGATGGTGATGATGATGATGATGATGATGATGATGATGATGATGATGATGATGATGATGATGACACTGATTCTGATGATTACGGTGAGGAGGAAGAGAAGGAGGAGTTGGTGGTGGTGGTCACTGCATAAGGGAAACATAATCCCGAGCAGAGCAACACGCACCACGACCACGACGACGCCGACGACGACGACGACGGAGACGAGGCGCGCTTACGATCCGCACCGAAGCACGGATTTGGGAAAGGGCCCACCCTGCAGGTTCGGTTAAACAGCACATCGTTGAGCGGTGCTGCAGCCTCCCCTGAGCACAGGCCCCCCCAGAGCATCAGCCAGACAAGTCGGGTTTGCACCCTCATGCCTTGCTGGACTCTGGGCGCGTTTCGGCACCCTCTCCCCCAACCTCGTCAGGGCCACCGACAAGGGAGAGGGCGGCGGTGGCCGACGCGTCCCCGAGCTAAGAAGCTCAAAGCGCCGCGGCTCAGAGAGCCGGGAAGACAGACAGACAGACGGACGGACGGACAGCCAGGCGGCGTGCAATGCCTGGCAAGCCAAGTGGGTGGTCACTGCATAAGGGAAACATAATCCCGAGCAGAGCAACACGCACCACGACCACGACGACGCCGACGACGACGACGACGGAGACGAGGCGCGCTTACGATCCGCACCGAAGCACGGATTTGGGAAAGGGCCCACCCTGCAGGTTCGGTTAAACAGCACATCGTTGAGCGGTGCTGCAGCCTCCCCTGAGCACAGGCCCCCCCAGAGCATCAGCCAGACAAGTCGGGTTTGCACCCTCATGCCTTGCTGGACTCTGGGCGCGTTTCGGCACCCTCTCCCCCAACCTCGTCAGGGCCACCGACAAGGGAGAGGGCGGCGGTGGCCGACGCGTCCCCGAGCTAAGAAGCTCAAAGCGCCGCGGCTCAGAGAGCCGGGAAGACAGACAGACAGACGGACGGACGGACAGCCAGGCGGCGTGCAATGCCTGGCAAGCCAAGTGGGTGGTCACTGCATAAGGGAAACAGAATCCCGAGCAGAGCAACACGCACCACGACCACGACGACGCCGACGACGACGACGACGGAGACGAGGCGCGCTTACGATCCGCACCGAAGCACGGATTTGGGAAAGGGCCCACCCTGCAGGTTCGGTTAAACAGCGCATCGTTGAGCGGTGCTGCAGCCTCCCCTGAGCACAGGCCCCCCCGGAGCATCAGCCAGACAAGTCGGGTTTGCACCCTCATGCCTTGCTGGATTCTGGGCGCGTTTCGGCACCCTCTCCCCCAACCTCGTCAGGGCCACCGACAAGGGAGAGGGCGGCGGTGGCCGACGCGTCCCCGAGCTAAGAAGCTCAAAGCGCCGCGGCTCGGAGAGCCGGGAAGACAGACAGACAGACGGGCGGACGGACAGCCAGGCGGCGTGCTATGCCTGGCAAGCCAAGTGGGTGGTCACTGCATATGGGAAACAGAATCCCGAGCAGAGCAACACGCACCACGACCACGACGACGCCGACGACGACGACGACGGAGACGAGGCGCGCATACGATCCGCACCGAAGCACGGATTTGGGAAAGGGCCCACCCTGCAGGTTCGGTTAAACAGCACATCGTTGAGCGGAGAGAAGGAGGATGATGAAGACGATGATGCGAATGATGATGCGCATGATGATGATGATGATGGTGATGATGGTGATGATGCTGATGATGATGGTGATGATGATGATGCTGATGCTGATGATGATGATGCTGATGGTGGCGGTTAATATCGTTCATGATGGTGGTAATGGTAATGTGTGATGATGCTGATCTTGTTGTTGTTGGTGACAAGGACGAGGAGGCGGAGGAGAACGATGATGATGATGCTGATGATGATGCTGATGCTGATGCTGATGATGCTGATGATGATGATGCTGCTGATGATGATGATGATACTGATTTTGATGATTACGGTGACGAGGCAGAGAAGAAAGAGGAGGATGAAAACGATGATACGAATGATGATGCGCATGATGATGATGATGATGATGATGACGATGATGATGATGATGATAATAATGATGATGATGCTGATGATGATGATGCTGATGGTGATGATGATGATGATGATGATGATGATGATGATGATGATGATGATGATGATGATGATGATGATAATGATCATGATGATCATGATGATGGCGGTTAGTATCGATCATGATGGTAGTAATGGTAATGGGTGATGATGCTGATCTCGTTGTTGTTGGTGACAAGGGCGAGGAGGCGGAGGAGAACGATGATGATGACGATGATGATGATGATGATGATGATGATGATGATGATGATGATGTTGATGCTGATGCTGATGATGATGATGATGCTGATGGTGATGATGATGATGATGATGATGATGATGATGATGATGAGGCGGAGGAGGAGGAAGAGGAGTAGGAGGAGTAGGGAGGTACGACGGGGGGGAGTTTGTGGAGGAGTAGAGGAGGAAGATGCGGGATGGTGAGGAGTGATGATGATGATGATGACGACGATGATGATTCTGCTGATGATGATGACGATGATGATGTTGCTGGTGATTTTGTTGATGGTGATTATGTTGATGCTGATGCTGATGCTGATGCTGGTGTGAATTGCGCTGAGACTGGGGCTGATGATGACGATGATGATGATGAAACTGCTGCTGATGATGTTGATGATACTGCTGATGATGACGATGATGATGCTGATGATTATGATGCTGCTGCTGATGATGCTGATGGTGATGATGATGATGATGATGATGATGCTGATGTTGCTGTTGCTGCTGCTGATGATGATGATGATGATGATTATGATGATGATGATGATGCTGATGATGATGATGATGATGATGCTGATGGTGATGATGATGATGATGATGATGATGATGATGATGCTGCTGTTGCTGATGATGATGATGCTGCTGATGATGATGATGATGATGATGCTGATGGTGATGATGATGATGATGATGATGATGATGATGATGATGATGATGATGATGATGATGATGATGATGATGATGATGATGATGATGATGATGATGATGATGATGATAATGATAAGGGAGGAGGAGGGGGGGAGGGAGGGAGGGTGGAGGGAGTATGGTTGTGAGTATAACCGTGTGGCAATGTCAACGTGTGCTACACCAAGCTGAACAAACACTCGTGCATTACGCCTCGCTCAGGACCTTTGGCCAGAGCCCCCGGAAAAGCGGCGCAAGCACTCGGCTCCGTGCGGGAGGAGGAACCATGAGGAACGAGAGCGAAGAGAGAGGAGGAGGGAAGGCAGGGCATGGAGGAGAACCCGCGCCGCGGACCAGCTCTGATGCGAGCAGTGTTCTGTTTTGTCATTCATTGTTTTGCCGATCGGCGCGGGCCCTCGCACCACCCCCTGCCCCCCCCATGGAGTAGATTTTGGCTGTATTGGGCGCCCGTTTCAGCAGGTGGAGTCTCCCCTCATAGGACCCAGTGCTGCAGACAGTCGCACTAAGCAGAGGTCCGGGAGCCAGATCCCCCCCCCTCTCCCCCCCTTTCCGCCCAATACCGAAACGCCGAATAAAAGAGGCGCTCGCCATGAGGAACGAGGGCGAAGAGAGAGGAGGAGGGAAGGCAGGGCGTGGAGGAGAAGTCACGGCGCTCTGTGAACCCAGGGGCAGCGGGGGTGCGCACGGGACTCGGGCGGCTCGCGCGGTGGCCGCGGCGTCGGCGGTGTCTCCAAGAGGGCTCTGGCGAGCCTCGGAGGCGGTCGAGGTCTCCTTTTCAAAGGGCGTGGAGGCCAACCTTCGTGGGCGTCCACGGGAGGGCGTCCACGGAGGGGGACGAGGAACGGAGAGGGGCGAGGAACGGGGAGGGGCGTGGCTACCAGGGCCGGGACCATGAAGTCTCCTCGATGTCATGTCGGCGTCACCCCAACATATTGATACTATATGTGCGTCGCCCCCCAAGGGCGACGCGCGCACCGAGATAGTATATGCGTCGTGGCGGTCGCTTTATGGCCACGCCGCTCGGGAAAAGATATACTACAAGATGGGTGTACGATATGTTCGGGTCGGACGCGCGCCTCCAAGGAGGACATATAGTATTAGTATGTCTCTGTGCTTCCAATCATGTCTCCGGGTGAGATCTCTCCCATGTCATGGCCTCCCGCTCTTCAGCGCACCCGGCACCTGGGGCCTCTCGAGGGCATGCGGCAACGTTGGCCACATTCTGGAGCCCCTGCTGGAAGCGGCTTTGAGGCATTTTGGGCGATGTCGGTGGCTCCCAGGCCCGTCTCGAAGCAATCTTAGGATGTCTTGGAAGCAAAGTGGGCGACGGTACGTACATCATGTGCTTGCAGTTTTTGCTGTTCCAGGGCATCTTCTGGCCATCTTCAGGCATCATCTTGAAACCTTTCTTTTTTTGACATCGAGGCCATCTTTGAAGCATTCTTGAAGCCATCTTGAAGCCGTTCGAGGGCGTCTTTTGGGGTCCTCCTTGAAGTTTCTTGTGGCCCTCCTGGAGACCTCTGAGGCCTTTTTGGCCGTCTGGTGTCGTTCCAGTGGGAGATATTAGAGGTAGCTCGGCTTCGACAGATGCCCTCTGGAAGGTTCGCACCTCTCGGCTCCTCTTCCCTTCTTCCATTTTCTCGCTTCAGTGTCTATCAGGAAGCATCACATCCCGCCACCCGTTCTTGGATCTCTGACTGATGCAGGCCAACGGCATGGAAGACTCCATCACTCTGCAGACGTTCGACTTTGCTGGACAGGAGGAGTACTACACCCTTCACCACCTTTTCATGACCAACAAGGCGGGGACTGTCAGCGGCTTGCCGCGTTTCTATGCCCGTGGTTGTGTGGCCAGATAATGCCGTACAGGTAATGAAAACAAAAAAACTCTTCACAGTCGATCTCCCAAACTGCACTGTCAGGGGGCCATCTCTATCGTATACCAAAATAGGGGGTGCCCTTACCAATCCAGAGTTCCTCGCTAAATGTGCGGGCGGGTGTCAGTCAATTTTGTTCCTTTCACGCTTTTCAGGGTCCAGGCTAAGGAGAGATACGATTGAGACGATTTGCGATGTGTGCTCCTGGGGCTGCCACTGGAGCTCAAAGCATTAGCTCCACTTCCTACTATCGGTGTCGACATGGCGGAGGATGAGGAGAACGAGAAGGGTGAGGGGGAGGGGGATGAGGAGGAACAGCAGGAGGAGGAGGAGGAGGAGGAGGAGGAGGAGGAGGAGGAGGAGGAGGAGGAGCTGGGGGTCAAGGTCGAGCGCAAGCGACCCACGTTAACACGCGCGCCTCTCCCTTGCCCCCATCAAGCCGTGAGCTGAGGGAGTGGCGCGCGAGGGCAGCACCTGTCACAGGGACCAGCTGTCCGCAGCTCCGAGCTCCGAGCTCCGAGTTGGGGGTCAGAGACGGCGGAGGTGAGGACGAGGCTCCCCAGATGCGTGGAGCCGTCGTTGACGAGCGCCGTCGCGGGACGCCGTCGACCGTTGTCGTCGTCGTCGTCGCCGCCGTCGCCGTCGCCGTCGCCGTCGCCGTCGCCGTCGCCGTCGCACCCCCCCCGGGGGGGGGCCAGGGCTTGTACATCCTGGTGATCGACCTGGCCCAGTGGCTCGACGCCGACAGCGCCGGCGGGCCCGGCAGCGGCTCGAAGAGCGACAAGGAGACCGCGAGCGAGATGCTCGTGCGGCCGGCTGCGCCTCTCTGCCGCCGCCGGCCCCTCCCAGGGGTCTGGCCCGCCAGCGGGGGTAGGGTCGCCCTGCGGCGGGGGCGGGCGGGCGGGTGAGGGAGGAGAGGGGGGGGGGGCAGGTCAGAGGAGGAAGAGGTGCCGATGCCGCTGCCTCTGCTTCGTTTTCACCTTTTGGGGCCTGCTGGGAGGCCCTCGTCGCTACGGCTTGAACTGATAGTCAGAGGGCATGCTGGGAGAGTTCCAGGTCCGGGGAGTAGCGGTATCGTTTTTTTTGCTTTCCACAGGGGGGAGGGGGAGAGGAGGGGAGGGCAGGGGAGGGATGGAGGGGGAGGAGGGAGGAAGTGGAGGTGGAGCATGGGTCTTCATCCTTCACTTCCATCTCGCTCTCCTCCCTCCTTCCCTCTCTCCTCCTCCATCCCTCTTCCTTATCTGTAACTCCTCCCTGTCGCACCCCGAGGCCACTGAAAAGGGCGAGCCGCGGGTTTCGCCTGAGCTTTCCCTCGCCATTCATGATCCTGAAGCTTACAACTTGCAAGAGTTTCACGGATGGAGGGTGGGTCGCTTTTAAACATGTGGTTCTCGCCTTAGTGCCGCGCACATTTGTCCTCAGAGATGGCACGAGTTTCACGGATGGTGGGAGGTTGCTTTTCAAAATGTGGCGATCGCCTTAGCGCTGCGCATATTCGATTGAAGAGTTTGCAGCAGTTCCAATGATTCTCATGGTTAACGCCCTGGAAGCTTCGGTTTGATACGATGTTGGAATGCCAGGGCGCAACAGGCACGCTAATTCGCGGTGTTGAAGTCCAAGGACTGGTGTTCTGGCGCGAGTCAGGATCGTCACGACACAACAGTAACGTTGATTCGCGACATTGAAATCCCAGGAATGGTGTTCTGGCGCAGTTCCGGATTTTCAAACGGTTCTATTCCAAGGGTGTACTTTCCTCAGTGAGGACGAATCCGTATGAAGACATCTGAAAAAGGGAGTTTGGGACGGTTTACTGCAATATCGTTGAGGATTCTTCTGTTTCTGCTGGTCTTCCTCCTCTTGTTCCTCCTCGTCGTTCTCCTCCTCCTCCTCCTCCTTCTCCTCCTTCTCCTCCTCTTCGTAGCGACAGTAGAAGTCCTGCAGGTCGCGAGGCGATGTCCGAGTGCCGCATGGATCTCATCGCCCCATACTGTATCTTGATGTCCGGGACCGCCACCAAGGAACGATGGCTTCGGGTCTCCGCCTTCAGCCCCCTGAGCGCCAACAGGATCGACGTAATCGAGGAGATCGAGCACTCGTTCAGTGGCATGGATGTGTCTAGGTTAATTGGCACGCAGCTGCGTTCCCCAGCAATTTGCCAGGTGCTTGAGAAGACAGTTCGTCGCTCTGTCATTATCTAAGTGCGCCCTTTCTACACAAGGCTGCCTGCTGCTCTTTTCTCTCGGGGCCGTATGCTAAGGTGTCCACCGTCATAGGCCACCCTCTTCTTCCTCCTCGTTCTCCCATGGGCAGTGGATTGGGACTCATACTGAAGCTAGACGGTACGGGCATCCTCCCTATGACTGCGTACTTCTCACCCAAATTTCGTCTCCTGGCCGCGAGGCCGAACTATTCCAATACAGTTGGGTTGTTGATGCCCTGGATAGGAGTTGCCTTGATGAGAGTTCGGGGCAGAACTACTCCCATCTTGGCCGTGGATCTGAACGACAGTATGGGGATGGTGGATGGCGCAGGTGGCATTCGGTTTCGGGCACAACAGGTTCTCAGGAGTCAGTTGCGTCGAAGGAATTCTACCAGGAAGCTTCTGGAAGTTGCTTGGGGAATCTTCTGGGGGAATTAGATTGCGTATTTTGACGACGAACAGTTCTTTACCCCCACGTGTCGCGGACCTCGCAGGGAACAGGAGCGGCTTGATATGTTGTCAATTCCTCGTGAATTTGGGGGCCGTCTGTGCTACGTTTGATTGTTTCGTAAGCTAGGCGTTCGGCGCAACAGATGCGCGCATTCCATTGCATGCTGCCTGGAATGTCCGATGGGATCTGACCTCTCTAATGGCAGGGCTTTCGAAGGGAATGGGCAGGCAGGTGCTGATTTCGGCAATCGAAGATTTGTTTTTACCTTCCTCTCTCTTGTTTCTTCTCTCTCTGTCAGAGAGAGAGAGAGATAGAGAAACAAAAAGAAAGAGAGACAGAGAGAGTTAGAGGAAAAGAGAGATGGATAGAGAGAGAGAGAGAGTGTGTGTGTGAGCTAGTAGACTTGCTATCGCAACCCAATCCAGGCAGGCTCTTTGGAAGTAGCGGCTGGGAATCAGATTCGACGCGGCCAAGATTGATTCAGCACGGAGGCTTCTGACTCCCACTTCTGCGTGCGAGTTTTGCGAAAGGCGTGAGGAGTTAGTCCGTCTACGTCAGGAGTTGCACCGTGGGATTGCAGTCGCATCTGCGGAGTGGGAAGAGGAGGTGGTGGTGGCAAAGAAACTGACAGATATCACAATTGGCGGTATTTAGAGCAGCTGCGTGATGCCTTGCGAGACCAACGGTTCGCCGGAGCGCATGATTTGTCGGGATTCGCAACAGGCTCCGCCTGGGGCATCCAGGGGAGGAGCTATTCATCTCTGTCTGGGTCGACATTGACGGAGGAGTCGGGGCATTTTTTTTGTGGGGGGGGTGGGCGGACGTCGAGAAGAACTGAGTTCCAGGAGTAAGGGAAGGAGAAGCTTCGAGGTGGATTTCTACGGCCTGGGAGCTTGACGAGGCGGAGGAGGGGTTGGAAGGAGTCATGAAACCACTTGGGCGGAGCCCCTGAGCGACGAGCTGGACCCTTCGGACCCGGCGCCGCGCGAGATTGTGCTTAGGTCGGGCATGTCCTCCTACGGGCGGATTTTCGGCGAAAAACAACGGAGTCAAAACATATTCCAAAATTGCCAAAAATAGTCAAACAATCGTGAGTATGTTTGAATTTTCCTTCTGTAGAGAGGCAGGCCCGACTTAAGATTGCGCCTCGGCTGGGCGTCGCAAAATCCAGGCAGGGACGCGCCGGTTTGTGTCGATGTGTCCAAACGGGCTTCGCCCGCCAACGAGTCTCGACGCGCGCGCCCGTGGTCAGGCACCGTGGCCAGGGCGCCGCGCTGCATAAGAACAGTGCTCACTTCGACGCCTCCAAATCGATTCGATTCGATTTGGATGGCTGCCGATTCTGCTTCGACCCGACTTGGGGTGCCGATTTGAATTCAAATGTTTTCGTGGAGGCCTTCCAGCCCGCCGATCTCCGCCGATTCGACTTTTCGACTTTTCCCGACGCGTCTGCCGCTTTCCGCCGGCCCGATGCATCTCGATCGCCAACCCGACTGGTCGATTTGATTCCGGGCCTTTTTTCGCAAGTGGGCGGTGGAATGATCATTTGCTGAACGTGATGGGGCTCTGCTGAACGTGATGGGGCACCTGCTTGCGTGGAAGGGGCACTTGCTGAATGTTATGGGGCACTTGCTGAATATGATTTGGAAGGGGCACTTGCTGAATGCGATGGGGTGGGGCCTCGGGACTTCGCCCTCGCGCGCGCGCGGCGTCGCCGTGTGCGACGGAAAGGGGGGGGCTGTGCTAGTTCGGCAGTGCAGCATGCGTCGCGCGCGTCCAGTTCGCGTTGCTCCCCCCTCCTCCTCCTCCTCCTCTTCCTCCTCTTCCTCCTCGCCGTGCTAGTTCGGCAGTGCAGCGCGCGTCGCGCGCGTTGCGCGCGTTCACTTGGCTGCTCCTGCTTGCTTCGGGGCAAGGGCGTGGCCGGCGCTTTCGGCGCCGCGTCGCGGGGTGCCCTTGACGATGCCGCGCAGCAGTTGTTTGAGCCGTTCGATCGAGTGATTGTTCAGCAGCGGCGTCGCGAGGCGATTGCCCGTCTTCCTGTCTGCGAGGGCCGCGCGGACATAAAGACGGGCTCAGGTGCGCGGATGGAGTGGGCGGGGGCGTTTGCAGCGCGCGGCATTTCAGATGGGCGCCGTCGGCTGCTGGCTGCCGTGGGGCCCCGCGCGGGTGGATGCTCTATGTGCCCCGTGTTCATCTGAAGATGCAGTGGTGGATGTTTCGCTTGCCGAATGTGCTAGTGATGCGGATGAGCTCTTCGTGGAAAATATTGGACGGGTGGGGTGGGGTGGGGGGCGTGGGGGGGTGGGGCGGGGGGGGGGGGGGGCAGCGGTCTGGCAGTGAGGCGCTATGGCGATGGTGTCCATGGCGGCTCTTTTCTGGGGGGGCGGAGTTATCCGCAGAGCGCCGCCGAGCAGTCGTATCTTTCTCGCTTGCTGGGCCTGGGACTGGACTAGGCCGCTTGGCGCTGCGCGGAGGTGCGCGTCGTGGGTTTCGGAATCCGCCAAGTATGGGAAATGTTCATGATGTTGATCGAAGTCGCCAGGGGCAGGGGCGGAATGCGCTTCCGAGGTATTGCGGAGGGCGAAATCGCCGAGGGGGAAGATGCCGCCAAAGCGTGGCTTCACCGTGCCAGGGCCGTTTGGTTTCTGGGCGGGCCCCCCTAGAGCTGGGGTATGTGTTTTAAATCTTGGGTGGTGAACGCTGCGCGGGTCAATTTGGGAGTTGGGGGATTTTATAACATGTGATCGCGAATTCCGCAGATTGGACTGTGCGATTTCGCCGCGGTGGAGTTTCCGCGCGCGTCCGTGCTGCAAATGGGGGGGGGGGGGGGGGGCTCGCGTCAGAACTCTGTCTGTCGTGGAGGTTCTGAAGCACAGGGGCGCTGCTCCGATGGGGGTGGAGGTCCAGGTTGCCCGAGTTGAATGGCTGCAGAGCTTGATTGGTACCCCTCTCATCATCTGCAGGACGTTGCTCGTGTGTCTGGCGCCTTGCTTACGGGTTTTCGAGGGGGCAGCGGCCGCGGGCGTGGAGCTCGGGGCCGAGCGAGCCTGGCTAGACAACTGCCAACTGTGCGAGGCCTCGGGGAGAAAACACCTTCTGGACATCGCAGGTGATCGTTTATTCATTGTTTTGCCGATCGGCGCGGGCCCATGCCCCCCCCGCTCTTGGGCTTCCCCTCCTGTCCGCTTAATGTCGAAACGCCGGGTAAAGAAACGCCTGCCAGAGGGAAGATTCCCGACCTCTGAGGGGTTCTGTGCGTTGGATGCTGAGATCTACGTGGGCGTGCCCAGGGAATTCGGATGCCCCTCCCGTGGCCATGGAGGGCTTTGAGAACCTGCGTGCCAGTGCACATTCCTGACGGATTGTGTGTGTGTGTGTGTGTGTGCGTGTGTGTGTGTGTGTGTGTGTGTGTGTTTGTGTGTGTGTGTGTGTGTGTGTGTGCAGTGGTGAGTTCTTTGAGTCTCGGGGGAAGTTGTGCGCCCGTAGTCGTGATGGTCATGGTGTTCGTGGCCTTGGCAGTCCTCTAACGCGCTACAATCAATGCCCGTGCTGTTCAGAACTAATCGTACTGTTTCGCGTCGACACCTAGCGAGTAGTTTCAGGCGGAAGTATTTCTGGACGGCCAGTTCTATTGCGTGTTCAGGTGTTCGTAAACGTGGACACTGTCGTCGTGCTGCTTGTAACTGTGAAGTTCGGTCCCTGAGAGGGCTCCAGATACGTGCCCTCCGCCATTTTCTTCGGCGCCGTGGGACTTTGGGGGCCCATGTTGGGCGATTCGCGTCCCGTGAGTGCGCTGACGTAGAGCCGTCCTGCCTGGGAGGGCAAGCGAGACGCTGGGTCGGCAGGGGGCAGGGGGCAGAAGAAACGCTCCCCCGAGGGCGGGCGAGGAGGAGGATGCGGAGGAGAGTCTAGGAGGGCCATTCTAGACAGCCTGACAGAGGTGATGGGCAAGCTCGCGCTGTCCTGCGCCGTCGAACAGTGAGTGCTCGCACAGGGCAGTCTTTAACGCCGTGCTGGCGCCCGTGGATGCGCAAGTCATCGTGGCTCTCTTGGAATCAGGCGCAGGTCGCGACGGGCAGCGGCGGACGCGGGCAAAGGCTCGCAAAGTCGCGCTGGCCAATGGGGAGGGCCCTCCAGAAAATGCAGAGTTGCCGCGTTTTCTCGTTCTGTGCGCCGTGCTGGAGGGGCACCCCACGGGAAGGAGGAGATGCGCGTGACCGACGCGCAAGCGCAAGAGGAGGTGGCCCAGGAGGTTCAAAAGGTCAAGCTGTGTTGCAACGACATCCTGTGCAAAGAGGGTGGCGTGATAAAGGCCTGTTTCGACGCGCGCAACTGGGCGTGCAGGCGCGCGAAGAAGCAGGGGAACAAACCCTGGGTCGCCGAGTTCGCGTACCTGTTCCAAAACACCGAGATTGGGGTTCTCGTCCAGAAGGTTTTGCAGCGCCAGCTGCCCTGGGCCGACGCAAAG